CTCCATTTGGAATAAGCTGCCAAAAGAAATTAGATGTATTGAACATTTCTGCATGTTCAAGAAAATGATAAAGGCTTATCTGTCAACGGACAGAGCGAAATGGATCTTAAACATTCAATTTGATGATGAAAAACTGTATGAAGAAGGGCCGGATCATGTATGATACCGGAGAACATCAACTCTACTGCACCAGAGAAAACTTGATCAGCTAGGATGAGCTGATACAAACCGCTTCTTATGCTATTCCTTAACGCTACAATCCATGCGTTTTTACTCCCTTTAAACTTAATTCATATCAGCTGTCTTCTGTTTAAAACCGAGAGCAAAATTATTTACTGGTGTGACGTCAGGAGCTATTTTCGTAATTTTCCCCACAAATTGATTAATTCGTAATATTGTTCTGCGATCCCTTTCGCTACATTTGTTCTCCAGTGCTAATCATTTCCCCCTCTTTTCTGAAACTAACAGTCCAGAAACATATACTTGAATTCAAGGATGGCAATAACTGATTCCCTACGCGACTTTTGCCTATGGACAACTTGTACAGTCATCTGTCTCCGGGTGTCACGCTACACAATTTATCGTATGATCGGCTCGATCGGTTTCTACGCCGATGTACAAAACATACCTGCCTATTTCTTACATTAACGATATAGTACCTCTTTCACAGAATTCTTCTTTTCTATATTCTTCCTTATTTCATAGTTGGCCACGACTGGGCTGATCTCCTGTGGTGACGGATTACAGCTTCCAGATTATAAAAGACGTTACCTATGCAAGGCAAATTGCCACCAACTGTCTGGCGTATAAAAAAGTGCCATAATAGAATGATCCGCATGACGGACTGGGCTGAGCCTTCATGGCCCATAATACATGTTCAAAAACAGCTCTAAAAAGAACAGAGCATATGATATACAGGTGATGGCTCATATGCTACTATGCCACACCGGCACACGGCCAGTTATTGCATGGAAGTGCGAGCGAAACCTTTCGAGGGAATACCTTGCATGGAAGCAGGTCCCCTGGGGATGGTTCCACGAGTGGTCGTATTACTTTAACTGGACATCTGTTTAAATTTGCTTACGTTATTGTTCCTGCTTTTTATTTTCTTTAATGCCTTAATCCTGCCAATTAGTTTAGTACCTGTTTTTGGATCCATTGTAAAAAGCGTGAACAAATTGATTATATTTTTGCGATCTTGTTGTACACATTGATCAGACCACATAGTTGGACTGCACCTCGAAACACCGAGGAATATAACATTTATCATTTATCAGTCGTTTCGAAAGAATTAATAACCTTGGATAGCAATAAGATGGTCCGCAGTCTCACTCGCACACCGAGATTCGCTAATACGAAGTATATGGGGTTGATGAAGGACGACAAAGCAGCGGACAATGATGAGCACCAATTTGAATGTGCCATCAGAAAATGTGTGATCCATGCGTTTACATAATATCATACAGGACTTTCCCTTTATAAATTTCAGAGCATATTCTGAACTCAGATATACTTTGTGTCCTCTCATCAGTTGTTGATAGACAATCAGTGGAGTTACTGTAATGTAACACACCAAGGTAAACCGGGGTACAAAATCGTCCGGTTTAAATGAAGCTAATCGACAACGCCTCACCAGAGTAAGGGTAGGGTAGTCAGAAATGAATGCTGTCTGCTTACATAAATTGGACTTCAGCTAACGGATCGCTGAGGTCTCTGCAAACTGAACCAGACGGGCAGTGCTTTGCCGATTAATGATCCCAAATGACTCACGTGGATGATGGCAAGTAAGGCCGGCGGTATGGCGATGAAATGCATTAAATAGTGCGGGTGCAAGAGAGTCCACGCCAGCAGCCGGAAAACGATTAACGGGTGCAATTGCGTTTCGGATCTCAGCCCCCGGCGGAGCCTCTAAACTAACCGACCATGGCTCAGTCTGCCCATCTGAGTAGAAAAAGGTCCGGAGGCACGCACTAACTGAACTGATCTCGAAAGTGCTCCGCCCAACGAGCCATCCGATGCTCTGTATTGTGAATAATGACACGCGCACTGTCTATGATTGTCTCAGTAAAGAAAAGCAAACGGAAAACCATGCTTGAAGACAGAAGCACTGCTAGTCATTCAGTGATGCGATTGGGAGGTAGGAACATTTCGCTATGCGGCTTCTGGCAATTTCTCTCTTGTAGCTGATAAACCAGAAACCACGCTAGGGTTCCTAGCTCGTTAGTTTTATGAGGCTTAATATATTTGAGCGCGGATTCGCTACAGATGACTAGAGACAAGGATTTGAGAAACTTAAAATTACTAGAGACGCTCAGGAAAAAGGAAACCTCACAAAATCAGACCCAGAGGAGAAATTCAGCGAAGAGTAATAGATAGAGTGGTAATCTTATATGTCGCCTGCTAGCCCAGATGTCGGGTCAACGTGTACGTATGAAACAGCCAACAAGAGTACAGACATTTGCAGTCGCGTTCCGCATGTCAGATCCCGTAAGCGTTCCATGTCTCATCTATGAAGAAGATCAACCAGATTAAGTAGAGCATTAGGGCAATGGATCACAGTTACAACTATACCGAGCCCTGCAACCAGAAAAAGCGACCCGGGAGTATCATCGACCGCTAACTAGCAGCAAAATGTTCTTGACGCCGAGAACTAGTAGGAGGAAAAACCCAATCACATGGACCCCTTTAATCCTTTCCAGTAGGAAATAGGTGAGCAAACAGACAAACACCGCATCGGTGACAGTAGCTGGGCAGAAAAGCCACCCAACCATCACCGCAGACCACAAAGACTCGTTGAAGTCTATGATGAAGAGAGGTTTTCACAAACCTGACATACTTGCTAGGACGGGTGACCAGTTAAGAAACACTAACCGCCGGACCCATGCATCACTCATCCGAGGTAAAACCGTTCATACATTTGGTTTGAAGCGTCTATGTCTCGTGCAGGGTTTAGGCGCCATTTTAGTATCTCAGTCCGCGTGTAACCAACTTCTTCTCAGTTTGGCTCATATCAAGTGGGAACACCGTGTGAGCAATGAGAGTGTTCGACGCCTCGTTTATGGCACAGGAAAAAGAAGTGAATCGTTCGGCGCCGTCATATCTCACGCATCAGGCTCCGATGGTTGGGTCACGTGTTGCGCAGGTCAACTCACCGACTCCCACGACGTGCGTTGTTTGCGGACTGGAAATGCGGATGAAAGGAAGTATGGCCAAATGTTGACCTGGACTCGGTTGGAGCATCTCGACTTCCTGGTGAAGTCCGAAAGATGATGAACAAGTTTGGTTAGATACACTTGCTGAGATGGCTAGGAACCGACCTCAGTGGTGTTTGTGTTGTAAGTTTATTTGTTGCTCCCCCCCCTAATCACGATCTCATTTCCGAGCATAGTATAAAATCTGCATAAGATAATTTTTTGTGGCACAATAGCAGGCTGTTAGCTCTTAGGAACGAGGCCCATCCGTTACTGACGGCTCAGCTGGCGTCACATCATTGCAGGTTTATTTTTTATGTATTGCGGCACAATAGCTGAGGTGTCTCCCACCGCTAGTTAATGTGTATACTAATGAATGATGTAACCGCCTGCGGTAATACGGTAGTGAGGCATAGGTAGATGAACGCATCAACAGTATGCCGTACCGACGCTTCACTGCCACGCGACCTCCGACAGTCGCGGAAGAGCATAGTGTATCGCGGATGCAAACCGGTGATATCGCACCGATTTTCTGTAGCTGTTCACCCAAATGTGAGGGCCACACAGGTGATCGGAAACAACTAGCTTTTAAGTGTCACGGGTGTGTAGTGAATAATAATATGGTCAGCATGGTAAACCGGGTCGAAGAAAAACACTGTACAGCCAGCCAGCGATTAGCAACTTGACGGCCAGACAAACCCGAGTAGTCAAGACAATAGCAAATTATAAATAGAATGGCTCCGATTCTAGACAGACATTCAATCTAGTGTTGTAGGCCGTATTCGGATGAAATGTTGCGGTGCAGTGACACAAGTGGACAGTATGGTTAAGAGCGGACTACTAGTCGTACATTTAGATGAGTGAACTGTGTGAACCAAAGACGAAGATCAATGGAAAGAGGGTATTACTGAGGCAAATTGACAGATAGAGGCAATCCTCGCGCACAAAGCGGTGAGTCTAAGGTTCATCATGTAAAAGAGCATGAACACACATAGCTGTGATTCTGACGTAAGAAGGCATCAGCAGTACGGCAGACCAGCGTACCGACGTTTTGAAAACTAAGCGACCACCATCGGTCGCTGGTGGGTTGGGTATACCACAAGGTCGCCCGTATCCAGGCGGTTTACAAGACAAGCGTGTAATCCTTTGGGCCACTTGCTGCATTATCTCTACGTGCTCCGAATCTACGAGATTAGCTAATTTCCTCCACCGGTTGATCGTTTCTCCAAGCTTGATAAAGGGATTGCATACATTTCACCACCATGCGAGGTGGCATCATCAGTGCGGATATATCCAGTGTACAATCCTGCTTATAGAATCGTCAGTCAGTCGACGAGGCAGGTGACTTGGGAAGGTGGCAATTTCGACTTGTGCCACATGATCGCTGTCCATTTTCGTCCGCGGCTGAACCATGTCTTTCTATTCGACGGAGATCTTTCTTTCTGAGATGCTGGTACACGGGGTCGATGTCGATGCGCATGTTGATCGAATTATTAGAGGAGTACCATGCTTCTAGAAATTCTCTTCCTTACTGCGTTGTTGTTTGAGCTAGAATCTCCGCACTGAAGATGCCACCTCGCATGGTGGTGAAATGTGTGCAATCCCTCTATCAAGCTCGGAGAAACATGTGACCAACCAACCAATGTTCCAAATTAATTTGCTCCAATTTGCATCTAAAGCCACGGGTAATCAGGCACATTAGCCGGATCAATCTGCACCTTTGCATCTAAACACATGGTGTCACACAATTCATAAACAAAAATTAAGTTAAATATTAAATAGCTAAGTGATTGATGAGTGAGTAGTTACCTCTACATCGTGCTTGTGTCGTTCTTCCTCGGAAGTCAAACCGGTCCGCCTAGATGGTTGCTTGTAGGAATGGTATTTGTCATCATCCACTGCGCGCTTTGTTCCTGATGAGCGCGAAGGATCATCTCTGGAAGGTTTATATTGACTTGACCCATCGTAAGCAGGTTCACGGGAGCTCCTACGTCTAGCAATAGGCCTGTGCCTTGAATAACCATTGGGAGACAACCTCTGTGGGTAATGCCGTGTTCTGGGATGAGAGCGATCTGATAGCTCATAGTGATGTCTATCACGCTTGCTAGATGGGCTTCGACTACGTGATCGTCTTGATTCATGCCTTCTCTGTCCGGAGGAACGAGGGGATGAATCGTAGCGCTGACGACTATCTGGATATCGGTACCCATAGGAATGAGGTATAGTTCCATGTCCAGACCTAGGAGAGCCACGACTACGACCACGTCTGTGGCGCGAATTAAAATCTTCAGCGGACCATTCTTCGGGACTACTATCTCGACCATGGCTGATACGTCGATATCCAGCATATGCTCGATAAGTAAAACGCGGCCGAGGGTCTTCCATTCTACGAGAACGGAACGGTCGACCTGATTCCGGTTCATGATGTTGTCGCCTTGCAGATGAATGGCGTGGAGAAGAACGACTGTAGGATGAGTGAGAAGTGCCTGATGAGCAACGGGATCGCACAGATAATTGTGGTGATATTTCAGGCTCCGGACTCTGGTAAGTTGAGATCGGCTGCAATTCAGGAGAAATCGGGATCATGGTACTTTCCCGCAAATCAAATCCATCTGGGGCATGGAGTCCAGGTCCTTCATGTGCAGAACAAGTTGCGGCTGTAATCGTATCGGCTTCGAGTCGACTCTGATGGTGACTTACACGTTTGCTTTTATGTTCTAATCGTTGTTTAACAGACTGTTGAATCTCCGTTCCTTTGTTTGAGTCAACTTGTTTGGCATCGGCTCTTATGCTCTTCTTCTTTTTGAGCTCTGGTGCATTCTCACCGGGCGTGCGACCAACATCAGATGAGACACCAGTACAAACGGGTTGAGGGCATGAAGTATGACAAGATTCGGGACGCTGCTTTTTGTGTTTCTTAGATTTGGGTCGTGGCACATTTGGGTCATCAGTTTCCGGTTTAGGTCGCTTTTTAGACTTTTTTGCAGCTTTTTGCAACAATTTCGACTGTGTCTCCAAATTACTAGGCTCTTCATCTGCACAGACAGACGCTGTATTCTTAGACATGAGGCTAGCTGAAACAATAGCAATAAGGGGTGCATTAATTAGGAAGCCAAGTGAAAAAACATAAATAATGTATAGAGCGAGAAGATACAGATTTATACACCTGTTTCCTTCAAGCTGATGGGACAGGTTCAATTGAATGTCTGTGACAAGTGTGTTGTGTGAAGTGAGGGAAAAATTGGCATTACACCCTGCGGCCGTGATAATAGTAATAATAGCGATTATAGCAGTAAATAGTAGTAAATAGTAGGGCTATAACGCAGTTAGCTAACAATTCGTGATGGTCGGCTACCGTCCTCCATGGCGCAGTTGCATAAGCTGCGGGCTAGTTGGCACAAGCCACTAGCAGTCATGGGTTCGATCCTCCGTAGAGGACCGAAGGATGCGCACCACTGACGAGCCCCAATAGGGCGAAACGGCCGTCTGGTGCTTTTCCGGATAGGTAGTTGACTTATCTGGATTGTCGGCTGATTGCGACGAACAAAAATCCTGCTACTCATAAGTAATACAAATTCGCCCTTACGGATTTCATAAATGCCATGTCGATTCATAGCTGCCGTAACCGGGAAGTCCTGACACCGGAAGGCCAACCGCTGTCATCTGCATGGCAGGTGCCTGCATGGCAGTGGAGGATGGGTCGGGCTATATCGCAGTTAGCTAACAATTCGTGATGGTCGGCTATCGTCCTCCATGGCGCAGTTGCATAAGCTGCGGGCTAGTTGGCACAAGCCACTAGCCGTCATGGGTTCGATCCTCCGTAGAGGACCGAAGGATGCGCACCACTGATGAAACCCAATAGGGCGAAACGGCCGTCTGGTGCTTTTCCGGATAGGTAGTTGACTTATCTGGATTGTCGGCTGATTGTGACGAACAAAAATACTAACAAAAATCCTTCTACTCATAAGTGAGGTAGTAAGTGTAACTAAGAAAAGTCGGAATAAACGCAAACAGCGAACACAGAGAAAATAAGAACAGGGCGAAGGAAGTGAGTGCAAGAGCGCTACTGACTTCGCACATAAACCATGCCCGATAAGGAATACAAGCACTGTGATTGTACTGAAAGCCATCCATCCAATCCTGACGGTCAAATCAGTTTATTTATGGATTTTAATGTGGCGTAGCTTACTGAAAGCGAAAAAGTTAAGTGGAACTTCAATTGAGATCTGTTTAGCAAAAAACGGTGCAGTTGTCGCAAATCTGGCACGTTGGTGTGAATCAAGATTGTTGTTTTTCTGTGGGAAGGCCAGATTGACACAACAAAACCAGCATTCCTCAAGATGCTACAGACACCATAGCCACCACATACGAACGAGGTCCAGAAGTCGACGCATAGCATCCACATAAACTGATTACGACTCACTTGCATACGACACCGTTAAATCGGAAACATTGCAAATCCAGCCCAGTTACCGAGAGGGAGACATACCGAGGAGGTCACACGTGTTTCAGATCGACAAGCACCAATAGAGTTCTGGCGATGCAGAGAAAAACATTATTTCCAACGGTACCACACACAAACAAAGCAGCTTAACTGTCCAAGATGTGCATTAACAAGGATAAGCACAGGAACGGTCATGTGGCAATCATTGAGCAACAACCAGCACTTCGAAGGGGAGAGGCACATATCGCACCTAAGTGCCGTAGTGGCCAGACGGTTCAGAATGATTTACACGCTCTGCGTGTCGCCCTCAAGCAAGACGATGTCTTCAGCATAGTTTAGGTCGGTCGGTCGCTCGCTCACCTAACAAAAGTTTTGAGTCAAAAGTTTGATAATCTTCCGGAGATTTGAACAGGATGTCCTCAGTTGTCAAATGGAAGAGGAACGGTGAAATAGGTCAACTTTGTCGTACATCGCCATCGACAACGGAGGAAGAAGCGTTCTTACCGTAAACTCACCCTGTCCGAGACATGGAAGCACAGTGAGCGTAGAATGGTAACACACTTTGCTGGGACGCCGTTCCACAGCAAGCAACGCCATAGAATAGGCCAATCAATCGAAGCACATGCAGCTCGGATATTTAGGAAGGCAAAGAAGTAGGTCTTCAGTAAAGGTGGCGGTTGAGTTCCTCGACGAGATGGACATTCCGATCGCAGACGTTTCGTTACCAGGGGATAATCATTCCCCAGATTTGTCATCCGCTAGCATCTTATATCGAACCGCTATCCATCTCGTATTAATGATGTCACCTTGAGTGGTGAAACGTCTGTAAGTGGAACGCCCGTGACAACCAGCAAATCAACAAGTGAAGATCGAACCCGAGCTATCAGTATTTCGGATTATTTCGAAGATGAAGGTGAAGACATGATTCACATATCCACGGTCAGAACGGAAATCAGTCCGTTCTTCAAGAGGTGGTGACTCACGAATCGGGAATAGTCTAGGAAACACAATGCATGCCAATAACTTGAAGGCAAACGAAGCGAGACAAGTCTGCCGGAGATTTCCGTATGAACTGCAAATGCCCTGCTTAAAAGTAAGGACAATAACACACACCAGGAAAAAGTACACTTCCTTGGTGGGAAATTGTAGAGAACAAAGAGGTAACATGGTTGATGATTGAAGCACCGCCCTAACAGAACAGCTCTAGAACAAGTCTAATCGAGACGGCAGTATAAGATCGCTTCAAGTGTCAAACCACAAGGCCTCGAACGTTTGCTAGACGGTTTTTAGCGCGTTGGTCTAACGCTACATCCGACACAGATTTGAATGGCCACCCAAAGGCGTGGGGCAGAACACACGAAAATCGGCTGGAAAATGTTTATTAGAAGGTTCCTAAATCTTAAGACTAAAAATAAGGCACCGGAAGATGATTAGCTAGGGAGTATGTGGTAGGGTGCTGAGTGCGATCGGAGAACCGGCGTTCTTTTCGAGGTCCGCGGACAGAGTCCGGATGTTGTCGGTGTGTCACATACAAACACGTACACCATACAAACATGCAGACCACTTACTTCCCTAATACATGAGAATACTACGATTTCATAGTATTTGGGATTGATTTACACATAAATCGGGGGAATCTCCAGGTCACTACAGGTTCATGATATTCTCTATTCCACTGGCGCTGATACTCCTGCCTAGATAATTTAATTTCTTGACGGCTTCCAGCTGATCACCACCAAAAGTCAGCGTATGAGTGGGTCCCGCTTAATCTTAGAGGAGGAATTTGCATTTCGACAGTGCAAAGCATTGCAAGAAACGACTGCCAGTCATAACTAATTTATGCAGCGCAAATTGACACGTTCGGGAGCTGTCAGAGATGAGCGCAATGTCGTCGGTATACTCGAGTGTCCGCCAAGAGACTGATTTCCATCCGGTGACAGTTCAATTTCTGTCGGAAAAAGCTACGACGGAACAAATTTTGGACGGAGATTGGACAGCCAAAAAATAGCAACAACAACAACAGCAGTACATTAGCCACTTGAACTGATGCTTCGCTGCCATATAACCGTGATGACATGAAATAAAGAATAACAAGACGTAGATAAAGGACACACACACACACACTATACACGTTAGCATGAGGTGGGAAAAAGCTCAGCTACTGTGCCCCAATACATAAAAGCAAAAAGGGAACAAAATGAAACAGGTGCAAGCCAGCTGAGCTACCGGTAACGGATGGGCATCGTTCCGGCAAGCTAGCTGGCGGCTATTATGCAGCAGAAAAAATTAATGTACTATGCAATATAATAAAATGTTAAATAATGAGATCGTCGTTGGAGGGGGAGGCTAAGAGGGATGGGGTGGGACAAAGAAACTTACAGCGCGAACACCACTGTGGTCGGCTCCTAGCTATATTAGCAAGCGTGTCCAACTAAACGTGTTCATCGTCTCTCGGACGTCAACCAGGGAGCCGACACATCTAACCAACGCCAGCTCCGAAGTGAGGGCCTTTATTCCTCTCGACCAAGTCATCGCTTGGCCACCTCCTCTTCTTCCATCCACACCCCCGGCGCACAAACAACGCACGTCGCGGGAGTCGGTGGGATGGTATGCGTAACACGTGGCCGAGCCATCGGAGTCTGGTGCGTGAAATAACGGTGCTGAGCGGTTCAGTTCCTCTTCCTGTACCGTAAACAAGGCGTCGAACACGCTCGTTGCTCACGCGGTGTTCCCACCAGATGTATGCTAAATTGCGAAGTCACCGGTGGTCGAACGTAACTAGCCTCTTTATGTCCGCTGATCTAAAGGGCCAACTTTCACAACGGTACAGTAGGGTCGAAGCTACCGCTGCATTGTACACTATACCCTTCAGGGCGAGAGTGATGTCTCACCGGCGCCATAAGTGGCGAAGGTTAGCAAAAGCGCCTCGAGCTTTTGCCATACGGTTCATGATCTCATCTTCATTCCCATGGGCGCTGAGACAACTTCCCAGGTAGTTGACTTTTTGAACGATTTCTGGCCGACCCTCAGCGTAGGAGGCGGTCCAGGCCAATCTTGGAGGAACGCTTTGCACTTCGAGGGCGCGAAGCAAAGCTCGAAGTGACAGACAGCCCGTGATAATCTGTCCAGTACCGCTTGGCACGTCTGGGAGCTGTCACAGATGAGGGCAATATCGTCAGCAAACTCCAAGTCAAGAAGTCATTCTCCTGGGAGCAGATCCATACCCTCTAAGTTGTGTCCTGTGAACGCGATTTCCACGACTTCATCAATAGCGAAGTTGAAGAGGAAAGGTGACATCGGGGATCCTTGTCTCACACCGCTTGAGAGATTAAAGGTCGAAGACAGCTTGCCGTAAGCCCTCACTCTACCTGAGCTACGCGCCCATAATGCTCCGATGATATTTACATATTTCTCGGGTACACCTTTCCCGAGTAGACAGTTCCAAATTGCACGTCCATCCACCGAATCGAATGCACCTTTGATATCGAAGAACACGACAACGGTGGGCCGCCAATATATGTGACGGTACTCCAACAACTGACGCAAAGTGAAGCTGTGGTCAATGCATTCACGACCACGACGAAACCCGACTTGCTTTTCACGAATATGGCTTTCACAAGTGCCAGTCAGCCTGTGAAGGATGACAGAGGTAAGCAATTTGGAGGCGATGAAAACCAGACTCAATCCTCTGTGGTTGCCGCATTCAGATCGTGAGCCTCCCTTGAAAATTGGGACTATGAAGGAGCGACTCCCGTCGGTCGAAACAGATTTCTGCTCCCACAGTTTGACTAGCAACTCGTTTAAATCATCCACCAGTGCAGGTCCCCCGAATTTGAAGAGGACCGGAGGAAGATCATCAGGTCCCGCGGCTTTCTTCAAATTCAACAGTCCGATCTCACGTTCGACTACTGAGCGAGAGGGTGGATCCAAAGCGACAGCCCACGGAGCGGGCCGGTCACTGGCCGGCGAGAAATCTAACAATTCCGAATGATTAAATTGCCTTTCAAATTGCTCAGCCCAACGCTCCAAGCGTTTTGACAAGTTGTGGATAGGCGGTCCACTCTCGTCACGTATAGTTTCACTAACACCAGGTCTGCTGCTGCCCGCTTCCCGTACCAACCGGAATAACTTACGATGGTTACAAGGACAGCGACCATTTCCATCTCTGATGCATGATGAGACCACCAGGATTCGCGGTCTCTCTTCAGGCTAGCACGGAGTTTTGCCCGGAGCTCTTTGCGAGTTTCATTGTGTTCGCTTCCAGCCGGAATATGCCGGCGAGCATCTATAAGTTCCAGAGACCGGGAAGAGACCCAATGTCCATGTTAGCGAATATACATACCACATTAGGATTTGCCTGCTGTTATTAAGGTCCGCCGAATAAGAGATAAAAGACCTTTAATTACATCCAGTGAGCGTTTACTCAACTCGCATGACAGCGTACTTTGATAGACATTCAGAACAGCTGGCTTCGCCAATTGGCTGGGGTCAATGCGCTCACAACGTCGTCGTGGGCGTCCGCTAAAGCGCCTCCGCAGGTCAGCACATACAAGTGCATGGTCGGTGTCTACCCATGTGCTCCAAATCGAGCGACAGTTCTGGACGCAGCCTCTCCAGCGGTAACTTATCGCACTGTGATCGATTGTTCCATAGCTGGGTCAATACATACGTGTTTCACCTGTACGCGGTAACGGCGCTTCGCTGCCGCGCGACCAGCACCAGTAGCGCATGGGCTGAAGATACTGCGAGGACGCCCACTCCTACGCGCTTTCGAGCCGGTGACCTTATAGTTGAAAAGGAAACGTGCAGGCCACTCGGCCACCGGCCGACCAGCTGGTTCGAGGCTGGTGGGCGACAAGTTACTTTCCGGCGGGTGCTGTGTCGGAAATTAGTGCTCGCAAGAAATAAGCGTGCATTCTCACACAAATGAAGTAACCGCTCACCGTTATCATTACGGGAGCCTACACCATGTTGGCCACCCAGATGCAGTTCATCAGTTGATAAGTCTCCAACTTGAGTGTTCAGATCCTCAGCCAGCACAACAGTGTCCGATCTGCTCCTGTGGCGAAGGGTCGTCAGTTGGCGATAGAA